AAGTGCTTAAGGAAATTCCTGTTTCAATTCTTCCTCCGTGGTCTAACTCACATTTTATCACCTGTTCATTTTCGTGACTTACACACAGTAAAATATTATATTATATTATATTATATATATATATATATATATATATGTCGTACCTAGTAGCCAGAACGCACTTCTCAGCGTACTATGCAAGGCCCGATTTGCCTAATAAGCCAAGTTTTCATGAATTAATGGTTTTTCGATTACCTAACCTACCTAACCTAACCTAACCTAACTTTTTCTGCTACCTAACCTAACCTAACCTATAAAGATAGGTTAGGTTAGGTTAGGTAGGGTTGGTTAGGTTCAGTCATATATCTACGTTAATTTTAACTCCAATAAAAAAAAATTGACCTCATACATTATGAAATGGGTAGCTTTATCATTTCATAAGAAAAAAATTAGAGAAAATATATTAATTCAGGAAAACTTGGCTTATTAGGCAAATCGGGCCTTGCATAGTAGGCTGAGAAGTGCGTTCTGGCTATTAGGTACGACATATATATATATATATATATATATATATATATATATATATATATATATATATATATATATATATATATGTCGTACCTAATAGCCAGAACGCACTTCTCAGCCTACTATTCAAGGCCCGATTTGCCTACTAAGCCAAGTTTTCATGAATTAATGTTTTTTCGTCTACCTAACCTACCTAACCTAACCTAACCTAGCTTTTTTTGGCTACCTAACCTAACCTAGCTTTTTTTGGCTACCTAACCTAACCTTACCTATAAATATAGGTTAGGTTAGGTAGGGTTGGTTAGGTTCGGTCATATATCTACGTTAATTTTAACTCCAATAAAAAAAAATTGACCTCATACATAGAGAAAAGGGTTGCTTTATCATTTCATAAGAAAAAAATTATAGTAAATATATTAATTCAGGAAAACTAGGCTTATTAGGCAAATCGGGCCTTGAATAGTAGGCTGAGAAGTGAGTTCTGGCTACTAGGTACGACATATATATATATAATATATATTACACACAATTTAAATTTAGATTGATATATATACATAATTACATTATATAATTAATTATATATAGTATACATAATTATATACATTTTATGTAATTATGTATAATTATATATAAATATTATATATAAACATATATGCATAATTATATATATACATAATTATATATATAATATGAATAACCAATGTAACGTACGATTATGTTACGTTGTTGGGTAGATTAGATACACAGTGTTTAGGATTCATATTTATTTAGTAGTCTTGGATACAACAGTGTCGTAGACGTCGAGTCGGATCCTGGAGCAGAGCAGAGTGAGGCCAGAGTCGCGGAGTATATATAATGATTATATATATATAATGATATAATGATTATATATATATATATATATATATATATATTATATATATATATATATATATATTTAGGGGTACCACCACTGGTTTAATTAAAGGGACCCACATCCTCGAAGAAGAAAATAAATAGTGATCAGATAAGACCTTGTGGATTCTCACTGAATACTTTAATCTTTTCCTCTCCTACCACCCGTATTATTATTTTTTATTTGATTTTATTGCAATGCTACAGTTTACAGAAAACACACACTTTATATATATATATATATATATATATATATATATATATATATATATATAAGAATTTATATATTTGTGTAAACCACGAAAATTAACACGTGATGAAAAATGTGACAATGTCAGACCACGGAGGAAGAATTGAAACCGGAATTTCCTTAAGTACTTTTGTATATTAATACATCTTCAGAGGGAATGAATCAATTCATTGCTTCTGAAGATGTATTAATATACGAAAGTACTTAAGGAAATTCCTGTTTCAATTCTTCCTCCGTGGTCTGACATTGTTATAAATATTATATATATATTATATATATATATTATATATATATATTACATATATATATATATAAGGATACGACGGTACATGATACCATCGTATCATTATTAACACCCGGCTGCTGTAACTAATGTTTAAGATTGGTTACAGCAGCCGGGTGTTAATGACGATACGACGGTGTAGTGATAGGTTGAGATGAGGATGCTGGTTACTTGGTGTTGGTGGAGGACCAAGTAGCTGGGAGCCGCGCCTGGAGCCTCGCATTTATGCCTTTAATGGCTGAAGACGGTGTTTTCTCTCTCCATATAGAGAGGACTAGATGTACAGTGCCGGATACCTAGAAGTTGCACCATACACAGAGGACCCTAAACACCTACCTCGGAAATGAGGAGATACTGGACGAAGGGACGGACGTGCACACACACGCACGCACACACAGTGGTCACGGGTCTTCGCGGTTAAGTGGACAGCGCTCGGGGATCATAGTCCTAAGGACCTGGGTTCGATTCCCGGCCGAGGCGGAAACAGATGGGCATTTTTTTTTTTTTTTTTTACCCTGGTGGCCCTCTTCTCCTAGCAGTAAATAGGTACCTGGGAATTAGACAGTTGCTACGGGCTGCTTCCCAGAGATGTGTGCGCGCACACGGTCGTGAAAGAGACATATACGTATTAGATATAGAGGAAAAATAGTGGTTAGAAAGGCGGGGACCAGGAGCTGACAGGCTCGATTCTGCTGGCACAAATAGTAAATCCACATACACACACACACAGAAGCACCAACAATTTCGTACACAGTGCAGGAATTATAAAAAAAGTTAAATTCCAAGCTGATGTAACAGTGAGGGACATTCGGAGCGAGGTCACCTCGCCTATCACCAGACTACTCATAAACGCCTCTGTCCATCCCCGGCCTTCTGTAACCTTCCCTATCCCTTCCTCCCCCTTCACTCACCCTCGTAGCAATATGGCACTGGAGTTAAGGTATTGCAGTAAGGGTGGGCGGCACTGATGACACCACCGCTACACAAACCTTCACGCTGATATGAGCGCTTCTGGTGCTCTTCCTCTGTGTATGGGATGGCCGCGATTTCCTGTAAATTCGTCAAATGCTCCAGAATGGAAAAAGGGACACAAGGGTTTGCGAAATTGTGCTTTCTCTGTTTTTCAATTGTTCCCCTTTCTTCCTAACTGTGCCTCTCACTATATACGGGTGTGGAGTGTGTGTATACTCACCTTGTTGTGCTTGCGGGTGTTGAACTTTGGCTCTTTGGTCCCGCCTTTCAACTGTCAATTAACTGGTGTACAGGTTCCTGAGCCTACTGGGCTCTGTCATATCTACATTTGAAACTGTGTATGGAGTCAGCCTCCACCACATCACTGCCTAATGCATTCCATCCGTTAACTACTCTGACACTGAAAAAAATTATTTCTAATGTCTGTGTAGCTCACTTGGGTACTACGTTTCCACCTATGTCCCCTTGTTCGTGTTACACCCGTGCTAGAGTTTGTCTTTGTCCACCCTATCAATTCCCCCTGAGAATTTTGTAGGTGGTTATGTCTCCCCTTACTCTTCTGTTTTCCAGGGATGAGAGATTCAGCTCCCTTAATTTTTCCTCGTAGCTCATACCTCTCAGTTCCGGGACTAGTCTGGTGGTATACCTCTGAATCATCTTTAACCTTGTTTTAGGGTGTGCGCGCGTGTGTGTGTGGCGTTTCCCTGTGTGTGATGGTTGGCTTTTCCCTGTATAGGGTGGTGGTATTGTTCTCCTGCTTGACTAGAGTAATACTCGACTTGAGAAATTGTTCCACACGAGAGATTGTTTATAAAGGTAGGTAGCAAGTATCGCCTACGCGAAACCAGTCCTAGAGTCTGACCTCTCGTCAGGAGTCCCCCAAGATCTGAGGTATATGTCCTGCTTTCTGTCCATCAGCTCAGACATCTCTTGCCTTCTGTCCATTAGTTGAAACACGCCCCTGCCCTCTGTCCATCAGCTCTGGCATATGGGTTGCCCTCCCACATATGGGCCAGAAAGGCCTGAACGACCCCTGCAGCCCTCCTTCCCCCGTCTATCTGCCTTACAAGACGCCTATAAACACGCACCTGTCAGCCCTGACAGCTTCATCTCGTAAACAAGTTTGCGTGTAGGTAGTGGTCGGAAGGGCGGGCGGGAGGGCTGGGATTGGAACCATATTTGGGATGAGTTGCTAATGTTACACTGGCTATCTGCTGTCAACATTTGGGCACTTCCTTCACCAGCAGGCGAGGCTTATATGGCGAGCATTATAGAGCAAGGTCCCTCGCCTGTGTGGTCGTGTGCGCTATGCTACCTCCCACAACACTATATATGCTGCCTGCCTCTTTATGCTACCCTTGTTTCTTACTTGCTGAATCATTAAACTCGTGTGCATCTGCAGATTTGCAACCACATGTTGAGTAATTACGCATTTGTGTTTTCTCTATATGTGGTTATAGTAGTGAAACTAAAGACATTTACATTCAAATACGGTGAGGTGTATCGAGATGTAAATTCTCTCACTGGGAAGTAGTAGCTCAGACTATCCTCGCATCATTTAAGATATATATATTGTAACAAGTACTTGTACATGGTATTATGTTCGGGGTGCAAAGTCCTTGTACTGAGGGGGGGGCGGTTGCCTGCTTCAACAACAGAAACTAAAAATCAAAATAAACTGCCGAAGACTTATTGGCCCATACGAAGCTACTATTGAATTACTATTCACCCAAACTCGTTCATATATATGTAACCTACGCTTGAAACTCGACGATCTCGTGTCTATTATACTAATCTGGTAAATTGTTCCATAAATTAACAAGCCTGTCTCCAAACCAGTATTTACCAGGTTTCTCCTAAATCTAAACTCATGCAATTTACAGCCATTGCTTTGAAGGCTAAACAGGTCACTATGACAAAGTCTACGAGGTATGCTCATAGTCTTGAGTGACCAGAATATACGAGGTCGCTACAGAGGTTAAACAACATTCTAGAGTGAAA